AGGTGACCTGGCCCCTGCGCGCCGGCCCACTGGGCTTAATCCTCCTTACGAATAACAGCGGAGCTTTGTTATTCATGGCAAGCGTTTCTGGCGCTCTGGCTGCACCTTCTGATGCAAGAGGTCTTTTGAACTGGGCTTAAATAGAGGCCATTGTTGAGGCTTTTGGAACAGGAGGCTTCCGTTGCTCCCGAAGTCCCAGTCGGGCCCGGGGATCTTTGTTTGCCGGAACCCCGCGCCAGGTGGCAGCTCTCTCAGCACTGTTTTGGTTCCTGCCTCTTCAGCATTTCCCCAAACTAGGGCGCAGCCAGCCTCTTTCCTGGAGTCTCCTCTGCTTGCCGAAGGAAGAAATTCCAATTCCTAAAGAAATGAATGGAAAATGAAAGTATAGGAGAGCTTAGCCAGGGTGTTCTTTGCAGATGGGGCCATTAGGAAATCATGTTCTTTCTTTCTTTTTGCAAAACCAGGGATTGAACTCAGACCCTTGAGCTTGCCAGGGAAGCCCTTATTCCACTGAGCCATCTCCCCGGCCCCAACTCATGTTATTTCTGATTACAGTTTCTTTTAATTTTTTTTTTCCATTTTCTTTTAAATTTAAACTAAGAGTACTGGAAGGACAGTGTAAAGGAAGCCTGTTCACTTCCTGTGCTCTGGGTGTCTCCGAGTCTTCGAAGGACGAGGAGGAGGGCTTCAGGGTTGTGAAGGAGAGAGTTGATTACTTGTGCCAGTCCTCTCGAAGTCCCCTCTGCTTTAAAAGGGTTTATTTTCTCCGATCTTTACCGTGGGCCCCAGCTGGTACATTACTTTTCTGACAAGCATACCTAAAAAGATAGAGTGCTGTTGTTGTTTGTTTCATAGTCTTTGTGCTGGGACTGAAGCCAGGGCCTTGTCCATGCCCCGCAAATGCACTACCACAGAGCCACATCCCCGGTCCTTGAAGTGATTTTGGGGGCCGGGTGTGGTGGCACACGCCTGTAATCCCAGCACTTGGGAGGCTGAGGCAGGAGGATTGTTGCGAGTTTGAGGCCAGTCTTGGTTACTAAGCGAGCTCAAAGCCAGCCTGAACTGCACAGTGAAGCCCTGTCTCAAAAAAATGAAAAAAAAATTTTTTTTGGTGCGTTAATCTACGTGATTTCCATTTGGTTTTTTGTCTCCTTAGTCTGTATGCGCCACTTTGTATGTGAATGTCGATGTAGCTACCCAGAACAGGAAGGTTTTATTATATGGAACCAGCCTTCAGAACTGAATAACTTTCAGAAAAAAAATAAAAACCAGCAACAACCAAAACCCAGAAAAAGTCGGGGGTAGGGTGGGGTCAGTAGTGGCGAGCACTCGCTTAGCTTGCTTGCCGCCTTGGGTTCCAGACTTTATTCCTCATCACCATAAAAAGAAAGAAAAAGAAAAGCCCTGGTGCCCTCCCCCAGGGGTGTGTGTGCATGTGTGGGTGTGGGTGTGTGTGTGGGTGGGTGTGTGTAAGCTCCCCTGAGTCTGCACAAACCCACCCAGCTTTTGCTTTCCTCTGAGCCCCACTCAGCCCACCTTTGTTCCCGCACCCAGCCTTTCTAGAATGGCTGACCATTTGCTGAGGGCTTCCTGTGAAGGTCCTTCCTGTGAAGGTCCTTCCTGTGCAGAGTCCTTTGTCACCCTCCACAGCACCGTGACCGGCAGACTGTACTTGGGTCCCAGAGCGCTGACAGAGCCCACAGTCCTATCTGCTGTGGTGGCCTGCAGGTGCTACTCGCTTCCAGAAGTTAAAGGCTGGCACTGATGACCACACTTCCGCCCACTGCCTTCCAGCTCTCTCTGTGGTACTAGGAATTGAACCCACGGCCTTGAGCATACAGGGCGAACACTCTAGCATTGAGCTACACGCGCAACCCTTTCTATTTTATTTTGGATATTAGCAGTACTGGGCTTTAACTCAGGGTCTTTGCATTGAGTTACATCCCCAGCCTTTAAAAAAAAAAGTTTTTTTTTCCTTCTTAATTTTAAGACCGGGTCTTTTAAGTTGCTCAGGCTGCCTGCAAAGCTGTGGTCTTCTTGCCTCAGCCTCCCTGCGGGGTGAGGCGTGGAAGGCCATGCCTGGGTGCTCAGCCCCTGCCTGCCTTCTGCACTGTCTCCCTGTCTGTCACCTGCTCTTTGTTGCCCAAGCACTTAGAACCTTTCGGTTGTACTTACTTTGTGCTCCCTGAAGGTGACATAGCAGATGCTGACATAGCGAAGTTCTTGTGTTTCCTCCTCTCTCCTGCTCTAGTTTGGAAGAGTTCAGTGCTGAGAAAAAGTTGAAAGTGACCCCGAGAAGTGTTCTTGAGGATGCTGATTCTTACGCCCTTGGAAGCCTGAGGCTAGCAATTGTCAACTTAGTTCTGTGACAGTCGGCTTGCTGCAGACTCATCATTCATTTTGAAGCCTTGTTGAAGAGCTGGGCTTGAACTGCCATTAAAATGAGCCCAGCACTTTAAAGGGAAAAGAAAAAAAATGAAAAAGTCGTGAGCATACCTCTAGCTGTTTTTGGCAGATGGCAGAAAAACAAAAGCCAAAAAACTTCTTGTCTTTATCTTGACAAAACATTTAGCCGTGTTGGGAGATTTTATTTGCACTAGACCTTTAACATTATTATTATCATTTTGGTTTCGTCAGACAGGGTTTCACTCCGTGCGTGGTTCAGGCATCTGGCTGTGTAACTCAGGGTGACCTTGATCTTTTGGGGATTCTTCTGCCTCTGCCCCTTGAGTGTGCTAGACTGTCTACATTGTAACATGGACGTCTCAGAAATTTGAAATTGGGGCTGGAGAGATGGCTCAGTGGTCTAAAGCACCTACTTGGAACAAGCTTGGCAAGGCATCAGGGACCGCGGTTCGATCCCCCAGCACCACATGCCAGCCAGTCCCGCCCCCTGGTGGGCTGAGCTGGCCACACACACACACACCACTCTCTCTCTCTCTCTCTCTCTCTCTCTCTCTCTCTCTCTCTCTCTCAAATAAATAAAAATAAAATAATAAAATAAAATGTTAAAAAAAAATTTGAAATCAACAACTTTCTCTGTTTGAGGGTAGGGAAATGGAAACAGTACGGTAGTTATGGAAAGGTATTTGCCAAAACAGTGGCATTAAAAAAAAAAAAAAACAGTGGCATAGTAATGCCAGTTCATCCACTTGTAAACGATTACTTCTTTGCTCTGGAGGAGCATGCCTGGAGTCCTAGCACTTAGGGAGGCTGAGGCAGGAGGATCACAAACTCAAGCCCCAGCCTGGCCAACCTAGGAATTTAGAAAGACCCTGACTCAAAAATAAAAGAGGAGGATGTAGTCCAGTGGGAAGGTCCTTGGTCCAATGCCTAGTACTGAAAAAAAGATAACATTTTCATCTACCTGTCTTAGTTCTTGCTGAAGTAGACATGTTAGAAACGTAAATTTTGGGGGCGAGTGTAGGGCAGTGGTAGAGCGGTGGCTTAGGCTGCAAGAGGCCATGGATTCCACAGTCAGCACCACATAGCAAACAAAATCGCCTTTTTTCTCTGTTAGCTCCTGTTTTGAATATTTTCATTACTTAATGCTCTTTCTCATGTCAGGTAGCCAGTGATGACCAACTGCTAAAATAAGCCCTATCCTGCAGCTTTGTTACCGGCCTAGATGTAGTCAAGTCAAGACCTGCTGAAGACTAGAATTCTTGGAAGACTTAGAATTTGGAGCCAGTTTCCTGATTCTTGCAGGTTGTTTTTTTAAAGCAGGGACTTAAACCAGTGAAATGATGCCTCTTTTTGCACCAGAGCCTGTGCAGGAGGATTTTCCCCTTGCTCGGCTGGGGAAGGAGCCTGGGCCTTTCAAATTCTCATATTCTCTCACTGAACATTTCCCAAGTCTTCAAAATCTGAATAGATGTGACAGCACCTGAATCTGTTCTGTGCACTCTTAATTGCCAGTTTGTACCTAAGGGATATGGGGGAACATAATGAACTTGTCTTCGGTAGGAAAAGAAAGCAGCGTGGGGTCTGGGACTCCTAACATTTAGCCCGCTGCCTTTTGTCTGTATTTCTTTTTCTGTCTTTTTTTTTTTATGTATTTGGTATAGGGTCTTACGATGCAGTTCAGATTTGTGTTGATCCTCCTGTCTCAGCCTCCCCAGCACTGGGATTACAGGTGTGCGCCATGATACCCAGTTTTGGGGCTGGCACAGCATATGGTACTGGCCCTTATCTATCTATCTATCTATCTATCTATCTATCTATCTATCTATCTATCTTTCTTTCTTTCTTTCTTTCTTTCTTTCTTTCTTTCTTTCTTTCTTTCTTTCTTTTGCAGAACTGGGGATTGAACTCAGACCCTTGCGCTTGCCAAGGAAGCGCTTATTCCACTGAGCCATCTCCCCGGCCCCTCTTATCTATATTTCTTAACACTGTGTATAGTAACGTGGGAAATTTTTTGCCTCTCCACGCACAAGACTTGCTGGGGCATTGGGAAGATGCACAGGGCAGTGTCCATGGTGGTACAGCCCTGGGTGGCCGCACCAAGGTGAACTTGGGTTGTTGTCGGTGAGTTGAAGACAGTGTGTGAGATCTGACCCGTCTGCCCTTAACTAGAAAGAGTATGTTAATGCTTCGATTAGCAATATGAGAGTTTCGTTTTTGTGAGAGTTGGGATTGAACTCTGTGCCTTGCACATTCTGAGCATTGAGCTACATCACCAGCCCTTTAAAAATTTAGCTGGGGCCAGCGAGATAGCTCTGCAGACTAAGTGCCTGCGTAGACAAGCGCAGGGACTGGGGTTCTATCCCGGCACCACATGCTGTGCCAGCCCCATGCTGGGCACACTGAGCCGGCCACTGAGACGGGGCTGTGGTGGTACACCCCTGTAATCCCAGTGCTGGGGAGGCTGAAAACAGGAGAATCCCTATGAGTCCAACCTGCATAGTGAGACCCTGTACCAAGTACATTTTTAAAAAAAATTTAGCTGGGTATAGTGGTGCACACGGGTAATCCCAGCCCTTGGGAGGCTGAGGTACTGGGATTACAGTGAGTTTAACACTAGTCTGTCATCCTTGCTCAGGGGCCATGCTAATCTTCTCTGTATCGTTCTAATTTTAGTATATGTGTTGCCGAAGTGAGCACTCAACACTAGCCTGGGCAAAGGAAGTAAGCACAAGGCCAGCCTGCTTTTATTTATTTATTTATTTTTGGCGGAACCGGGGATTGAACTCAGGCCTTTGCACTTGCCAGGGAAGCGCTTATTGCACTGAGCCATCTCCCTGGTGCCCCCAGCCTGCTTTTATAAATTCCCCAGGCTGCCCATGAATTTC